TGAGGGCCTGGGGGCTGGCGCCGGGCCCGATTTAACCATGAGCTATTATTTATCGGCTCTGCCTCCTGACAGAACCAAATGTATGCTAATTGTATCACTCACTGGAAACTTTTAGATGTTACTGAATGGAAGCTTCAGTATAGAAATGACATTTGTAAAAATGACTCCTGATCACATAATATGACAGCACTGTTTCACATCAAAGAAACCACCTATTCAGAGTTTTATGGAATCAGTTATACTTTACGATCAGGTATTTCCATGGAATATTGCCACATTCCATACAAAAAAATGGGCAACCCTAACCAAGCCTGCCCCTTCAACCACAAGAACATCAGTGTTAGATTGGGGGCCGTGTATCAAGCACCGTTCATTGCTGACCCCCTCCTCCTTCAATGCTAGTTGCTGGCTGCCACACTAACCCTCTTGCTTCAGTAGTTTCTGACCCAGGGGCAGAAATGCTTATCTCCATGCTTATTTCTGCCAGTGATTCAGAAAGTACTTAAAGTGGACCTTCACCCTCAAAATGAATGTTGCTCCCGACTTCGCAAAATTAAAATCCACCCCCCTCCCTTTTTTTAAAATGTACATTCCAGCCAGTTGTTCCTCCCTTTGCCATCCATTCTCGACCATGAAAGAATGCCATACTCTGTTCTTGGTGCCTCCTGGGATATGCACATTGCATATCCCAGGTGGCATCAGCTTCCATACAGTAAACAAAAGAGAAGGACAGGCCTGGCAGAGTGTCATCGGGAGCCGGCTTCCTAAACTGGGAAGAGACAGCCAGCTCCCAATTACATCAGGGAAGAAGATGGTGGCACGGGACCTGGTGCGTGGCAGCAGTGCACAGATCAAGGCAGGGCAACACTGTATTCTTTGGATGGGCAAGTATGTGATCCAGCATTAGGTAAGAGGGATTTAACAAAATTAAATGGGTGAAAGGAGTTGTGAAGTTCCTCTTTAAGTCAAAGAGTCAGCATAATACCCAGGCAATTAGTATTTTATGAAGAAGTTCAGCAATGGAAGATTCCATATATCTTTTATGACAAATGTACTTAAAAAACGCAGTATTTATTTTCTTCTTTTTGACATCCATTTAAAGTTCTACCTCGAAACAAGGGCATTTATCCAGGAGTCCTTTCTGAAATGGTGGTATGCACGCATTACCCCCATTGTCTGAAATCTTCCTAATTCTGTATGTTTAGGGCTGATAATCACTTCATCAGAATTGACTGACTCATGAGCAACCATCATCCAAAATAGGCCTTACCGAAAACTATAAATTCACCCTAAAATAATGGATACTAATTGGACAATCTTGTTTTTTAGAGGAAAGTTATTCCACCCAACAAAGCAAATAGGTTCCCACGGATAAAGAAGTTGATGTGTCACAGTTGTTTTCTCAATGTGGTATTTCCAAGAGCTGACGTGGCCTGGACTGCAAGTCAGCAGGATGACTCATTTTCTAAACATAAGATTGCTCATCAAGGTTTGAACATTAGTTACCTACGGAACTGGTATCTGATATACATGCACACGCTATAAACAAATTTGAAGTAGACGTAAACCAGCACACCATTAAAATTAATGTCGCGCGGGGTAAACAGAGCTTCAGTATTTCCTATGCCTCCCCCCCTCATATATAAAACAACATGTACATATGCACTAGGGCTAGACTAACTGATGAGATAAACTATAGCTAACGTTCAGCTCTTTTGAATTTAATAAGAATTGCATAATGAGCATGAAATTCTGTTCTTCCTCCATGAAAGGCATTGAGCACATGCCAGTTGTTGTCTCCAACAACAACTGGCATGTGTATTTTCCAGTCCTACATGTAACATATTTAGGGCCTGGTGCGGTGACCCGTGCTGTGCTGCTCCGGATCAATACAGGTTGCTGCAAGGACACATAGAGAACAATTGTTTTCTACTTGTCCATTCAAACTACAAAGCGGTTGGTGGTGCACTGTGATAATATAAAAACATACAGTGTTTTTACACTCCACATAAAATAAAAATGTAAACAGTGACAGCCCTGGCAGCGTGCGACAGAATGCACACTCCCGGAACTGTCACAATGAACTAGCCTGTAAGTTAAAATCATGTGTTTCAGTGTGAAGAGACCGTTCAGTTCTTGATCACACCATGCATGTGCAGTGGTGTGCAAAAAAAAAAAACACAGCTCAACAAACATGTGAACAAACACTAAAGGTGCCCATACACCTTACGATTATCGGACGAAACTTTTCATCCGATGATCGAATAGTCGTACGATTTTCGTACGGCAGCCCCATCCTGCCCCGATGATCGCAAGATTAATTTAGCCGCAATTAATGAAAAGCACCTGGACGAAATGCGGTAATTGATTCGCCGTATTTTCGTTAGCGTTTCAAAAGTCCTACGATCTACACTGCGTAGATCGTAGGACTTTTGACGGACGGAAACGCCAGCAACCTTACGACAATCGTACGATCTAGCAAAGTTTTCAAACATGCTTGACCGTCAAAAGTCGTACGATTGTACAGTACTGTCGGCCGGACACTGCAATGCACACATACGATTATCGGCCGAAAAGTCGATCGCATACGAAAATCGTACGATAATTGTAAGGTGTATGGGCACCTTAAGGCTGGGTTCACACTTGGGCGTTCGTAATATGCGTGTTTGACGCACGTTTTTACCACGATTTGCTGTCAACGAAACGCGCAACAGAATCGCACACGAAGGCTATCCGGCTGTATCCTAATGGATACGCGCGGAAATACGTCACAAAGAAGCTCCTGTACTTCTTTGGGCGCAGGGCGTTTTCCAGCACGTTGAAATACGCCCAGGTGGGAAAAAATGAGATTTCACTTGCTGAGCGTTTTACAGCGCGCACTGGATGGCACCCCATTGTAGTATACCCCATTGCTGTGCGGGGACCTGAATGGAATGTACAGTTTGTACACTACCAATGAAGTTAACAGTGGCATAGTAGTTCACGCTTCTGCCTTGCAGCACCGGGGGTCCCTGGTTTCAATCCCGGCCAGATCACTCTCTGCAAGAAGTTTGCATGCTCTCCCTGTGCTTTCCTCTGGGTACTCTGGTTTCCCCCCACACTCCAAAGACATGCTAGAAGGTTAATTGGCTCCTGTCTAAATTGGCCCATATACGTATGTGAGATAGGGACCTTAGATTGTAAGCTCCTTCAGGACAGGGACTGATGTGAATGTAAAGCACTGTGTAAATTGTTGGCACTATATAAATACCTATAATAATAAAACAATGCCCCGCATTTTAACTATTCAGGACACCGCGGGTTACCACTGCCACTCAGTAGCAGACACTAGCCGTACAGTAAAACGTTGCCTTTTACCATGCGGCTAGTGTGCACAGGCCCTAACCAACTGTTGCAGGAGACTGACAGGAGTAAATCAGTTGTGAGCTGTGCAGAACAGACCTGAGGAGATAATCACCCACTTGATCCAAACCAGGAAACTACCCAAACTGGAATGTAAATAATTCTTTATTGGTTTTGTATTTGATGAAACCTTATCTCCTCCATTATAGCTATACACAGAAAATCAAATGTTAGCGAGTAGAGATAACATCCCCAAGTTAACCCCAGTGGTTAGGTCTACATCAGCAGCAATAGCTGGCATATTGGCACACGGAAAAATATTACAATGAATGTGTGCGTGCCAAAAATGAAATACAAGGGTGAAGTCAGAGGTTCCAATTGGCTATGACGAGAATCTGTGTTTACAAGCCGACTTCTGTTGTACATTGTGTTCTCTTGCAAGGGGGGTTTAAATGACCTGGCTTTATAGGAGTCAAACTCTCAAATAGAACAGAAGGTAAAACCTTGGTCACATGGCAGAAAATTAGCCTCCGACATTCTATTATTTCAAACAATTCATCCCCGCACAGCTACCTCATGTATCACTCGCCCCTCCCTTTTAGATTGTACGCTCTCAGGGGCAGGGCCCTTCTTACCATCTTGTCTTGAATTGTATTGATTGTAATGTCTTCCTTATATTGTAAAGCGCTGCACAAACTGTTGGCGCTACATAGATCCTGTATAATGATAATGAATGCCCATAAATGACCTATATACGAAAAAAAATTCTGTGTAATTATGTGATCATGTATGGGGGTAAATCTAGTTTCAGCGCTTCTGCCTTGCAGCACTGGGGGTCCCTGGTTCAATTACTACCCAGGTTACTATCTGCAAGGAGTTTGCATGGGTTTCCTCCCACACTCCAAAGACATTCTGGAAGTTAAATTGGCCCTGTATGTATGAATGTGAGATAGTGACCTTAGATTGTAAGCTCCTTGAGGGTAGGAACTGATATAAATGCATACAGTGGGAGGGATGCACCTATACTAGAAAGCAGGCTCCATGCTTCCTCGTCACCTGGTGGCGGGTGAGGTAGCATGAAGCTGGCTTCTCAGCCAATCAAGACGCCGCCCAGCTTCCTTAATGGGACTTCCAGTATTGGCGAGTACCGAAAAAAAAAAAATATCAGTACTCTTATTCAATACCGAAAAACAGGTATTGATGCATGCCTACTATGCATGGTGTAAGTTGTTGGTGCTATATAAATAAACAGATGCCCAAAATCTCATACTTTACTCATGCCACAAAGACACACACAAAAAGGGTGTTTATTCCACTTTCCCCACAGCATTCAATCACACACAGCCATATAGGGGCAAAATATTTTTATTCTATTATTCACACAATAATTGTATTGCTACATAATTCCACCAAAGTGATTTTAAGGAAAAATGTCAATATTTAAAGAGGATCTGGATGCTCTGTCTGTATATGAACTCTGGGTCCATTTTGGCAATGTGTCCCAAAATGTGGAAATGTACAGTAGTGAGAACCATAGGGCACTGTTATGTTAATAAGTCATCTGATGGTGAAGTGTCCCTTATCTGTACATAAGGCTTGCCATGCCCTTTTTTACACTCAGTTCTAAGTAAGACGTACTAGATGTTCCACAGCAGCACTGTTTTGTTCTACAGCAGAGCACTCTGGCATCATCTGTACTTCTTTGAAGCAAATTCTTTCCTTCCCTTGCCACTAAATCCACGGACACTTTGTATTTTCTTCAGCTGCCCTTCAATAGTAGGAATGATATCCACCTCCTCTGGAATATGGACGTAGCGCACATTGCGTCCATTGATAAACAAGTCATCCAGCTTAGATTCCCTGCCCTGACTGTCTGTATAAGTGACCTTGGCCAGACGGATGTTCATAAAAGCATCTACGTTTATAATTGAACCCTTAGCAGAACTTTCATCTCGCAGGTCAACAGTTGTGATATGTCCATGCAGTCCCTGTAGAAGGATGACCAGGCTATTTTCTGCAATAGTCCTCTCCTTTACCGAGTGGCTTACTTCCATAATGATACCTGCAAAGTAACATCAAGTCATAACAATTTAAACATATCTATGGTAGAGGGGACACTCAATGCATAGAGCCAGTGCTGCTATTCTGTATGCTCGAGTTAGTTAAGTTAGCAACTCGCTGTATTTAGAGGTTCATACAAACAAATACTATATACTAGAGGTGCACCGAAATAGAAATTTAAAAACAGAAACAAAACCGAAAATTTTTTTATTTTAATTTTCAAATTTGTTAAATATATTATTTTTATTTATTTTTAATAAACTTTGTTTTTTTATATTTATTTATTCATTTTTTTTATGAAATATTTTTTACTTTTAGGGGGTTCGTGGAAATATTGGGGGTCTAAACAGACCTACGATATTTCCCTTTTAAAATAGAAAAAAGAGATTGAGTTCTCCATCTCTTTTTCTGTATCTCCTGTTATCAATGAACAGGAATCCTCTATGAGTGTTCCTGTTCATTCATAACATGGTGACAGGGTATGTTTACTATAACTACAACTATGAATGAACAGGAGGTGATGTAGATTACTTCCCATTCATTCATAATTGGGGACACAGTAAGCATACCATGTCCTCAATTATCTACACACACTCAGTGATCACTGACTGTTTGCTCTCGCTCTATTCTCTGACACACTGTCACAGGAGGCTGAGCGAGCGGTGTAGAGAGGAGAGCCCAGCCTCCTGTGACACCGCGGGCTGTCTCTGCCCCCACACCGCTCTGCCGGACTGTGATAGGAGGCTGAGCGGTCTGGGAGGAGAGACATTGTCCGCTCACAGCGCTCTCCACCCACAGCGCTCGGCCGGCTGTCACTTATTCTCCTCCCCGCTGGGACACAGAGCAGCGCCCAGCGAGGAGGAAAGAAATCACGGATGCACCGATTTATCGGCAGGAAAATGGCACTTTCAGCATTCAGCCAAAAGTGCCATTTTCGGCCGATATGTTTCGGCGGCCGATATATCGGTGCATCCCTACTATATACTGCACATTCAGCATTTAAAGTGTTAAATGTTTAAAATGGGCACCCCTGTCCTAGTGTAATTCTGTCAGTGTCTTAAGCTTTTTGTGTCTTAAGCTGGCCATACACCTATAGATGATCTTCAGGTTTTGGAGGAATCTCCCGCTGGGCCAAGCTTCAGTATCTTGCTAGTGCACCTTTTGGAGGTAGCATTCACCAAGTACAGTTATTCCAGTAGTGAAGGGTTAAAACTAGGGATGCACCGATATATCGGCCGCCAAAACATATCGGCCGAAAATTGCACTTTTGGTTAAATGCTGAAAGTGCCATTTTCCTGCCGATACATCGGCGCATCCCTGGTTTCTTTCCTCCCCGCTGGGTGCTGCTCTATGTCCCAAAGTGGAGGAGAGAAAGTGTCAGCCGGCCGAGCGCTGCGGGACAAGAGCGATGTGAGCAGCCGGTGTCTCTCCTCCCACAACGCTCAGCCGCCTATCACAGTGCGGCAGAGCGGTGTGGGGGCGGAGACAGCGCTGTCACAGGAGGCTGGTATAAAAAAAATGAAAATAAATATTAAAAAATGTAAAAGTTTATAAAAAAAATAAAATGTTTTAAAAATTAAAATAAAAACATTTTCGGTATCGGTTTCGGCCTGACAATTTTTTCTATTTCCGTTTCAGTTTTTAAATTTCTATTCCGGTGCACCTCTAGTTAAAACCACTGTCAGGTTCTTATTATATCATTGTCTTATTGGCCACTGTCAGTGGCAAAGAAAGTGAAAGCAAACGCAACATTTTATGTTGTCACCTGAACAGGAATGGAGGAGAAATCTCCCAACGGGGACAAGAGTGGATTTTGTAGAAGCCACCTCTTACTTCCTGCTGTTTCTATGTGGTAGGAGGTGAAAGGAAATTTCAACAATGTGACAGGGGTATAACCCCCTAATAAAGAGCCATCATCACATGTACACAGCAAAGGATGGAGGTTACAAATCATCAGAATAACAGACAGCAGGGCCAGGTCCTTTCTCACAATACACAGTGCAGACTCCGGATCACACCGTGCTCGTACACACCTGATGTCTCCTCGCTCAAGTCTCCGGAACTGTCTGCACTTCCCTCCTGTAGTATACAGTGTATACACCTACTTCGCACACTGCTCACTCACTAGGAACATCAAACCCGGGAAAACACGAAATAGCCACGTGACGACCACTTCTGTCCGCGAATGGTCGCCTTAGATGATTGACAGAGGAATGAACCAATGACGCTCCACGGATTCAGACATGCGCTGTAGTGTATTAAAGACGTGTGGGCAGGATGTTACAGGCTGTGGGGATTGGGAATGAGGATATCATGTCTAGTCTCTTTTATACATAGTAAATAAACGAAGCTTGATTGTTATTCATTATAACTTTAAGACTACCACATAGATGTGGAGGTTACCTAATATAAGTGGCAATAGACAGTGTTTAATCCTAAAGGTACCTATTTCTAACAGCAAGTCTCCTAAACCCTATGGGTAACTAAGGGGGGTTTCATAAAACGTGTCTGAGAAGAGGTCAGCTGCCCATAGCAGTCAATCAGCTTCTTTCATTTATTTCCACTCAGCTTAGAAAATAAAAGCTGATTAGCTGCGCTCCAGCTGAGACAACGTTTATCTCAGACTTTTTTTTTGGCTGGCAAGGCGTTTTTTGCACACATTATAATGCACATTTCAAGCCTGAAAATTAGAAACCCGGAGAGTTATATATTTCCTGAAAGCACAGACCCTGTAGAATAAAATGGCGGCATTTGCAAATTTTTATGTCGCATGATATTAGCGCAACTCTTTATCAAACCCAAAATTTCTGTAAAGACAAGTTCAGAGTATCTAATCTGTCCCTGGACACAATTCAATTTTCTCCAAACATCTAAACTGAACACACCTAAATACATGAATGATACCATTTACAATCATTATATGCATCTATATACACTATATTGCCAAAAGTATTGGGTTGCCTGCCTTTACACGCACATGAACGTTAATGGCATCCCAGTCTTAGTCCGTAGGCTTCAATATTGTGTTGGCCCACCCATTGCAGCTATAACAGCTTCAACTCTTCTGGGAAGGCGTCCACTAGGTTTAGGAATGTGTCTATGGGAATGTTTGACCATTTGTGAGGTCAGGTACTAATGTTGGACGAGAAGCCCTGGCTCGCAGTCTCCGCTCTAATTCCTCCCAAAGGTGTTCTATCGGGTTGAGGTCAGGACTCTGAGCAGGCCAGTCAAGTTCCTCCACCCCAAACTCGCTCATCCATGTCTTATGGACCTTGCTTTATGCACTGGTGTGCAGTCATGTTGGAACAGGAAGGGGTCATCCCAAAACTGTTCCCACAAAGTTGGGAGCATGAAATTGTCCAAAATGTCTTGGTATGCTGATGCCTTAAGAGTTCCCTTCACTGAAACTAAGGAGCCATGCCCAACCCCTAAAAAACAACCCTGCATCATAATCACCCCTCTACCAAACTTTACACTTGGCACAATGCAGTCAGGCAAGTACCGTTCTCCTGGCAACCGCCAAACCCAGACAGGTCCATCGGATTGCCAGACAGAGAAGTGAGATTCGTCACTCCAGAGAACATGTCCCTACTTCTCTAGAGTCCAGTGGCGGCGTGCTTTACACCACTGCATCCCACGCTTTGCATTGCACTTTGTGATGTAAGGCTTGGAGGCAGCTGCTCGGCCATGGAAACCCATTCCATGAAGCTCTCTATGCACTGTTGTTGTGCCAATCTGAAGGCCACACGAAGTTTGGAGGTCTGTAGCTATTGACGCTGCAGACAGTTGGCGACTTCTGCGCACTGTGCGCTTCAGCATGTGCTGACCCCGCTCTGTCAGTTAACATGACCTACCACTTTGTGGCTGAGTTGCTGTTGTTCCCAGTTGCTTCTACTTTGTTATAATACCACTAACAGTTGACTGTGGAATATTTAGTAGCAAGGAAATTTCACGGAACACCTGAATCCAATGATTTGGAGGGGTGTCCCAATACTTTTGCCAATATAGTGTATGTTCAGAAACGTGTTATAAACACATATAAAAGCATGTATGTCATTGTCAGTGGTGTCAGGGGTGTCCAACTCGGGTCCTCCAGCTGTGTTGGAGCTACAAGTCCCATGAGGCCTTGCAAGACTGACAGTTACAGGCATGACTCCCAGAGGTAGAGGCATGTTGGGATTTGTAGTTAAAGCACAGCTGAAGGGCCGGAGATGCCCACATCTGACTTAAAGCTACTACTAACACCGCCATTAAGATTTACATTCATTTCCACATTGGAGTTGAAGAACCAATAAAAGACACTACAAGGCTATATAATTTCAAGCAATCAATATTTGACTTCTGCATTTCAACTCAAATGTCCATGGAATTTCTGCCCTCTAGTAGTGCTTTAGAAAAAAGCACTATTGATATTTTGTAAGACATGACTATAACATTCCATATGTAATAAAGTGACGGGTTGATAGTGTCACCATGTGCAACATTAAACAAAAACAGTAATTCGAAAAATAAGGCGGTGGCATTTCTTACCTTGCCATGAAAAATGTTAGTTGCCTGGCTTAACCATTTCTAAGTCACTCACCCAAAAGAAGTATGCCAGGCTGTCGGGCACCCAGGTCACGTGCCCTGGATCTTAAAACCACGATGGTCTGTGCACAATATCTGAGAGCCACTGTCATTAGACAGCGCAGATTGCCGGCAAAAGGCACAGAGCCAATCAACGTGGAGCGGAATGCCCAATAATAGCAATCACAAATGTAAACACATTTTGTGTTAACATTCGAGAGCACTCCCTTTCCTTCTATGCTGCTAATTTTCCCAATTCTCTGTCTTCCTCCTCTGCTAGCAGTTCACCTGCAAATCCTGTGAGTAACACTGCTCCCACTGACCACCAACTAATGGGGGTACACAGGGGGCATATTGATCATAAAGGGGGCACACTGAGTAGAAAGGGGGTACACAGGAGGCATATTGACCCTAAAGGAGGCCTACAGACCACCAATGTAAGGGG